GAAATGCTGTGTTTTTCCAGTTGCCGGTGGTGACGTGGCCGTGGTCCCAGCTGGGCCATGAGCAGCCTGTGATTTCACCCTGGGCTGGTTCATTCCCTGATGTCTCCATGGCAACCAGCCTGTGCCCTCATGGGGCCAAAGTCCTCAGGGGGTGCTGGCAGCTTTGGCAGGGGCACCCGCCCCTCACCTGTGGTGGGGGCAGGGAGGCTGGGGGGGGGTTTTTTTTTGGAGGCGGGCTGGGAGCCAGGAGTCCTTCGAGTCACCACCACCTCCTTGACCAATGACCTTGTTCAAGTCATGTCTCCTCCAGGCCTTTGACGTCACCTACCAGCTTCCTCTGTGCCCGGCCCTCCTGACTCCAGTGTCTGTGGCTCAGGCGATGGCCAGGGGCCCTCGAAACTTTCCAGCCCCTTTCAAAGTTCCCCCGGGGCAGCCTGGAGCCAGTGCCACCTTGAACGGCACTTGGCAGCTCGGCTTGTGCTCTCTGGAGCCTTAAGCAGGTCACTTTCTAACCTTTTTGACTGGAACCCATAAGAATAGATATATTTTGCATCATGACCTCATGCACACACAGAAAGTTCTTACCATCGTCAGCCCTGCCCAGCCCACTGCAGCCATCCCTCCCCAGTTATGCGGACACCCAATGGTGGGGGGGGGGGTGAGAAGCTGGCCTCTCCTTTGTTTTTTGTTGTTTTTTTAAGTATATTTTTATTGATTTCAGAGAGGAAGGGAGGGGGGGAGAGAGAGAGAAAAAAAACATCAATGATGAAAGAGAATCATTGATCGGCTGCCTCCTGCACTCCCCCCCATTGGGGGTTGAGCCCGCAACCTGGGCATATGCCCTGATTGGGAATTGAACCGTGACCTCCTGGTTCACAGGTTGACGCTCAACCACTGAGCCACGCTGGCCGGGCTGGCCTCTCCTTTGCAAGCATTCCAAATTTCTGCAGGGGTCTGGGAGCCCCTCCCTCATTTCATTAGGTGGCCAGAGTGCGAAGGTGGTTGAGGCAGGGGCAGCAGAGCCTGGGGAGCCCCCTTGAAGAGGGGTCTGTGCTCCCCACCCCGACAGTGGCTTTCTTCAGAATGCCAGGCCCTTGTGCCTCTTCGTTATCCGTTTGGCATCCTAGTAGACAATTTCTGAAGAACTAGAACAAGCTCCCCCAACTGCCCATTTTACAGATGAGGAAAACAGAGGCTCGGAGAGGCAAAGGCACGTGCTCAAGGTCCCACAGGTGGTAGAGGGCGGGGCTGGGATTTGAACCGGGCCGTGTGGCACCAGAGCCTCCGCAGGTACCTCTAGAGCAGACCCTGGCACGGGGATCTGGGTACAGCTGACACATGAAGGACTGAGAGGCAGGACAGAGGACCAGAGCCGGAAAGGCTGTCTGTCATCCTGCAGGGGTGGCCTCATCCTGGGCCGCAGGGGACTGTGGAATGACAGTTAGGCTCAGAGTGTTCTGACCCCAAACAGAGGTGCTGGGATCTGCACCTCCAGTCACTGGCTAAGGGCCACTCAGGTGGGGTGGGGAAGGGAAGACATCAATTCTCAGATGCTTTCAGCTCCCGTTGCCTGAGGGCAGCCCACCTAGAAAGAGCGACAGGTGCTGCCCCTTGGAAGCAAAGCACATGGAGGGTGGGGAGGGCTGTGGATGCACAACCGGGAGAGAGATCCAGAAGGATCTGGGCATCGGCTGGAGCACCCACACTCTCTCCTAGGCCAGGCCAGGGGCCGTATAAGGCTTGTAAGGTCACTTGGCCTGGCCCTAGCAAGGCCTGAGGGGTGAGTTCATTAAAAGTTTGATCAAATACGGCAGCTAATGTTTAAGTTGATGATTCTGTATGACCCTCGGATGATGTTATAAATATCCCAATGGCCCTGGGCAGAGAGAAGGTTCCCCACCCGGCTCTAGGCCCACCCCTTCCCCTCCCTGTCCACACCTCTGCAAGTGTCAGTCTCAGTCCAGCCGCTCCCCAGTCTCTGGGGTTGCCTGGTGCCTCCCCACGAGGGACAAACCTCCTTGAGGTGGGAGAGCAGAGGGCTTGCTGGTCGCTTAGAGGGATTGGGGGCAGGGCACAGGGCAGGCAGGACTCCACGCTACGCCTGGTGTTTTGTCGGTTCAGCTGGGAGGACGGTGGCATCATTTTCGGAAATTGTGGAGGAAGACGAACTCGGGTTTGCGACCCCCATTTGCCCTGGTTTGCTTGCGGTGCCTTTGGGCATCCAGGTAGGGACCTGGAAATGCTGTTAGGAGCTCAAGCAGAGGTGGGGCTGGATGTGTGACTGTGGGCTCAGGCGCACACCCTGAGCCGGCCTGGGAGGCAGGAGGCGAGAAGGGCCCAGGATAGAGCCTGGGCAGGCAGGGGGCTGAGCAGGGAAGGAGGACTGAGAGGAGCAGCCAGGGAGGTGGAGGGGAGGCGAGAGGAGGGTGCGGCTCAGAGGGAGGGATGGGCTGTGTCCCGGTGCCCTCCAGGCCAGTGAGAAGCCACTGCTGAGCTTGGCCACATGGAGGTTCTGGCCACCCATGAGAGGCTGCTTGGCGTGGTGGAGGGGACACGGGAGGCCAGGAAGGAGAGGTGGACACAGTGCTTCCTGGGGGTGGGGTGCGGGGGAGCAGGAGCTGGAGGGAAGCGGCTCAGAGAAGGTCTTTAAAGGATGGGAGCGCTTGGGCTGCTAGGATGCTGGGGGCGGGCCCAGTGGCGAGGGACTGGGTGAGGCAGGGAGAGGAGTCAGAATGCAGGCCAGAGTCCCAGCAGGAGGCATCAAGCAGGTGCCACACGGATGGACCCGTTCGATGGAGCGGGAAACACAACCCACAGGAGAGAGAGCAGAGCCCTGGGTGTGGGCAGGGACGGGACCTGGCGGGGAGCCGGGACAGGTCTTTGTCACAGGAGGGAAAGCAGATGGTGTGAGCAACAACGCAGGCAGGGCTCCGAGGTGAAAAGAAAGGGTGATGCTTTTCGAAGGCTCTGGGTCTCAGCAAGGAATGGGGAGAAGCCAGCGGCAGGGGCACAGCGGTGGGTGCCAGGGATGGAGGTGGGAGGAGGAAAGGCGGGTGAGGTGGGCAACCTGGCGGGAATTAGAGACGTGTGGGAGGACCCCCGGGCAGAGTCCTGTAAGAGGTAGAGAGGCACAGAGCGGGTGCAGGGGGAGGGCAGAGGGTTGAGGGGTCCAGGGTGTCGTTGGCGGAGAGCTCATAGGATTTGCAGGAGTCTTAGCTGGGCTGGGAGAGAGGTGAGGCCATGGGAGCCAGTGGAAAGTAGGTACAAGAATTGGAGGTCTCCTTGGGGCCAAAAAATGCCAGCGTGTGGTGCTAGAATTAGGGAAAATGGAGTAACAAGCAGATGGGCAAGTAATTCCCATTGTGGGGACCAGGCCGGACACAGCTGCTGTGGCTTTGGGTCTGTTTTCTACAAAATGACGATGGGTGCTAATCAAGTCACGCCCGCCCCCCAGGGCTGGCCTGACCTGGCTTCCGGGAGAACACTCCTGTCTCTCTCATTTCCAGATCTGTTCACAGGAGTCCACAAGGATTGCCCCATGCCCCCGGGCACAGGCCCCCTGAGCCCACTGCCCTCCAGCCGCCCACCCACCCTCATTCCGGACTATGTCACTGGCAAGGTAAGCTGGTCACACGTCATCCCCACCTTCACCCCTGCCTCCGCCCTGGTCCTGGGCTGTTCCCTGCGGCTCCCACAGGGAGCTCCTCCCCTCCCGGCCTCCTGGGCTCGGGGCCCGGAAGGTTTGCTGTTCGGCTGGATGGAGGTCTGCATCGGGCCGGGCCTTCGGGAACTGGACCAGGCTTTAGAA